TTTAAAAAAAAAAAAAAAAAAAAGAAAAGAAAAGAAAATATTACAAATTCATTTCAAAAGATAAAAAAAGAAAAAGAGAGAGAGAGAGAGAAATAAAGAAAGAGAGAACAACTCGTTTCTCTTTTAACATATATATATATATATAAATAAAATATTTCTCACGATCTTATACGCGTGCACTGTTGTGTGGTACGCGTGCATCATACGTTAGTAGTGCGAATAAAAATAAGCGGGGAAATAAACGAAAGCCTGTTTATCGAGAATCGAGTGAGGATACCCTGAAGGAAGATTTATGGAACCGATTAAACGCGTCACTTGTTCATTGTCTTTCATAACAATAGCTAGGTTACACTTGTCACGGTTCTCCCGCACGTGCCAAGTCTTGCAAAGTCCGGTGTAAGCAGACCGCAAGGATCTTTCTTGTATCTTCCCCTTCCCCCCTCCTCTCACCCTTCTTCCTCCTAGTGTTCCTTTTCTTCCTCCTCCTCCTCCTCCTCCTCCTCCTCCCCATTTCCCTTCACCTGTTCTTCCACCTTCATCTTCTTCATCTCTACTCTTTCTTATCATAGAATATACAGTCTGTTGGTGTACCTCCTCTACCCGTTGATATATCATTATGTATAATCTCACCTCTCCAACGTTATGACTTAGCAATTACGGAATTAAGGGAATAATTATGAGAGAAGAGGCTCGAGATCGGCACGTCTGTTGGCTTTATAACCGACAAAAGCGCATTATTACGGTATTACGGGTGCCGATTACGAGAACGGAAACGAGGCCGGCATGTCGTACTTCGTACTCTTCATTTTTGTTCTTTATATATATATATTGTAATTATTATTATTATTATTTTCTTAATATTATATGAATTTTCCATTGTATCGATCTTTTGATGTAGTCTCATTACTATCGTTGGCAAAATATCACCTATGTTCAATAACAGTTTCACATATGATAAATGTAAAGATCTTAAGTATTAAGTTAGTATATGAATAAAGTATGTGCTTAAAATAAAAATAAATAAAAAATATATGTATGTTAAACGAAATACGACATCTTGATGCTTGAGATGATCTTTTCTTCGAGAGATCGATATGTTGATCTTGAGAGATTCCAACGGTAATGATGATGATGATGATGATGATGATGATGATGATCACCATCATTCTTCGACTATGAAGAAGAAGAAGAAGTTGTTGCGTTAGAAGATTCTCTTGTTGTTCATTTCGCAAGCTAGGTAAAGAGAACTATGATCATCTTTCTTAGAAAGCATCAAACCAAGGTGGAATCAAAAGAGTATCGTGGCGTTGCTGTTTCGTGGTTAGCGTTACTGCTACCCATTCTTTCATGGCTCGACTGGTATGCGGGCCGTTTGTTGTCTATCGCAGAAACTAAGAGGTGTCCAACCTACAAACCGCCTTTTCCTTTACCTACAGATCCCATCATAATCGCGTATAGTCGTTCGTGCGATACGTTTCCTGATTCTTCCATCTCTTTCCTTCTTATTTTATTTCGATCAGAAACATTTCTTTCAATCTTCTCAACGAACCGCAGGATCCTACGTATAACGCGTTATTTTATTCCGACGAAATATACACGGATTTATGATTTTCTTCGTTCTTTTATTTCTTTTTTTCTTTTTTCTTCTTATTCTTCTTCTATAGCATTAATCTCGATCTACGAGAATAGAAATACAACGCACCGCGTATACGAAGTACCCATGTTTGAAAGTGAAATCGGGATCGCGGAAAAGGAACGTTACGTATGTTAGGCGTGTAATTGAAGGTATCGTGCGAGAGGAAATGTTAGATTGACTTTTGACGTATAACATATACGTAAACGTGAGAAATATTAAAGGGACGACAATCAAAATCGAATGAATATTTCTATCACACAATCTGCGATACGATTAGTTTTTACTTTTGTGGAATACGGAATGACGTTTATTATATCAAAAGTATATACGATAAAAGCGAAGATTATTTCAATAAAATATATGATAGACGATCTATACGAGTATATATAATACATTATTTAATTATCTATTATCATTCGCGTAGCGTATTATTTAACGAACTGTAAAGGTATATAATCAGCTTGCCATTACTCTCGATTTCCTTTTTCCGTTTCTATACACTAGTGGTAATATTTGATACAAAATCATTTAACTTTTCCTTTCGAACGTACGATTTACGTGAAAGTCATTTAAAAAGTATCGTACTTGAGTAAAAATTTCGTTTCTTTTATTTCTTTTTTTTCGTTCAATCGAGTTTGAAATGACCCGGTGCTTCTTTTAATGGCGTAAGAAGCCATCGGTGACGATTATGCGAGTAATACGAGACTGTCGTTAGTCACGGGAACGCTAATGTTATTGCACCTCGTCGTCATCGTCGTCGTCGTCGTCGTCGTCGTTGTTGTTACTTTCGTTGTCGTTGTCGTAGTCACCATACGAATTGTGTATTCATGAGTTTCGCGACACATAATGCGAAAGTGCTTGGAAGTAGGTAGAGAGAACTCGCCACCGACGAACTAGCACTATCTTTACTTACCTATCTATCCTCGCGGTTGCTGCTTCTAGTCGTACATATTTACTACTTACTAATACTGCCATAAAGCGAGACTATGCGATGCTTATAGCTGTGTCTCGAGGCCGGTGGAGAGGAGGAGGAGGACTTTCGCTGGCGTTGCCATTACGAACTCGACGGGTCGAAGCCTTTGATGCGAAGTTCGCGAGCGTCTCCGTGAGAAACCGCACATTTTCATTTTTTTCCCTTCCCCTTCTACTCATTATCTATCTATCTATCCATCTATCTATCTCTATGTGTGTATATATATGTATATCTCATTCTATAGAGAGCGCATAGAAAAATGAAAAGCTCACAGACGTATCTGGAATTTTACGAACGATAATCCGTGGGAATAGTTATTACTCATCTCCCTGTTTTTCTTTTTTTTTTTTTTTCAAATATATTATGCTAATCAATTCTTCTTACATTCTATAATATCTTCATTTATTTTTCTTTCTTTACAGATTTTTTTTATTATCACATATTTCATCGATCAAGCGCGCTAGTAGAATCGATAACGTAAATCATATTAAATTAATACACAAGTAATAACAATACGCAACAATTGTAACAAATGTAATAAAATCTCATGGTCGTGCTTATTGTTGGTACGAACAAAGTATTAATAAAAAAAAAATAAAAAAAAAGAGAAAAAGGAGGAAAGACTTTTTTTTAACGCGGGAAACATTACTCGCAGTCTAGACAAAATTTATGTACGTGGATCTATATTTATACATGCGTATGCGTATCATATATATATATATACATATATATATATACATATATATATATACATATATATATATGTGTACAATTTGAAGTATGTATCATGAATGTTTACAACTTAGTTGCGTTTAGAATGGAATGTTTGGAGTGCATACGAACTCGTGGGTACTTCTCGATCGACGAACACTTCTCTTCAACCCTCATTCTCGTTCTCTCCCTCTCTTTCTCTATCTCTTGTGCCGGTTAACTTTCAAGAACGGCTTGATTTACTCCATGAAGAGTTCGGATAGTTCATGCGTAGTTCAGCCAACTTGATACTGCTTCTCATCTTGCTGCCTAGAGGTACACGCTCGAAACAATGAACATTTCTATCGACTTTCTGTGATTAAGAACATTGTTTTAATGAGGATTATGAATGTACGTAAATGTCGTTGAAAATACAAGAATATAAGAACACAATCACACCCATACACACATACACATATACATTTGAATATACACATTAACGAAAACGTGACTGGTTTTCATTCGATCGTTAGAGATCGATGATCGTCATATAATTTCTTCGTGACGATTGACAAGAACATTGGCAATAATCTCGTAAAAAGATTCGCGTGTATTAAAGTCTGTTCAACCGATAAATTATCTCTTTCTCTCTCTCTTTCTCTCTCTCTCTCTTTCACTTTTATATTTTTTCGTTAGCGTCTATATAAGAATGTATATGGATGGCTATAAAAACGCGTACTAATATACACTCGCACATACATACAGATAAAACTCGAATAGAGTTGCATAAAAAGATACTTAAGCATGCGCGAGTGCATTCACCGGAACGATAACACGACGAAAGGTGAAACAATGAATATGATCGCTCGGTACGAAATGATTTCGCGAAATTCGTTGACCTTGAATGACCAAGCCTTATGAGACACACTTTTTAAGACTTTCATAAATGAGTATATATGTTCGAATGCAATTTTACATGTAGCGTAATCGCATTAACTATGCTCGCGAGCGTCTTCGAAGTGCAACGTCAGTGACAAATAACCCATACGAAACAGACCGGAAAACGTTAAGTGAATCCGTTCGTTCTTTCTTTCTTTCGTTCTTTCGTTCGTTCGTTCGTTCGTTCATTCGTTGGTTGTTAGTACCTATAACGTTGCAATAAACGACACGATCTTACGTAATAAAGTCGCTTCTCTTGGCGCAACCTCGAGAAAATCTCTATGTACATATGTATGCATGTACGTGAGAACGGGGTTTCCGTAGGCTATCTCTGATGGATTTTATTTCAATTCGTTGAATATTCCGTTCGTTTTAACTCGAAATTAAGCCAAGAGTTTGGTGCTTGAATTTTGACGAAAGATAGGAAAAAGATTTAAACGAATTTGGTTTTCCATCGATTCGTCTAAATATTATGCATTACGTATATTATTATTATCATTATCTAAATATCATTTTATTCTTCAATTAATACAAAATCAAGAGTTTGATATATTGAATTTTCATAGTGCACCAAATTGACCTAAATTTTGCATGCAATTTGGTTCGTATGTTTTATCGAACGTTATTAATATAATTATTATTATCTAAAATAAAATGAAAAAAAATCGTTATAAATGTGTGACATAGATAAGATAAAAATTGTTAACTCAGGGATAAGGAAACCCATAAAGTTTTCACCGTTGTCGCATTTTTCTAAGCATCTCTCATCGATTTCTAATTCCCCAATGGATACCCTGTTTGGTTATAAAGAAAGAAAACTTGATACCGGAGGAAAGGAAGTTAGTTGAAGGTAGCCGGACGGTAGGATTACCACTCTCTTTCCCTCTCTCTCTCTCTCTCTTTCTCTCTTTCTCTCTTCATCATTCTCTTTGTCTTTGTTTTATCGTCTCTATTTCTATCTCGTTGCTCGTCATAACGGTGCATCCAGCGCAAGAGCAAACGTCCGCGTGTGTATCGAAGATCTAGTCGGCGGCGGCCACTGATATTTAATACTTTCACTCGAACTCCTTGACCCGCGCACGATCGCACACGTGGACTCACGTATCTACACATAAACAAGCAAACGATTATTCTTGCTCTCTCGGCGAGAGTTTACGCACAGGAAACGGTTTAGAAGAGTATTCTTTTTATTAATAATCCCTCTTATCCCCTCGTGTTGGAACAGACTCGACACCGTGTTCATTCCGGTATGTGTATAGAAATTTATTATTTTTTCTTTTTTTTTTTTAAACCATTGTTTTTGCTTTTACTTATAAAATCTCCTTTCCTACAATTATCATTATATTTTGTTTAAATTTTTTTTCTTGATTATTTTCAGATATTTCAAAAGTTTACTCTACATACACGTATAGATTATTTTATATTATGGAGTTAAGGATTAAATATACAATGGTTAACAGGATGGAATGAATTTTATAAAAAGCGGGATAATAATCATCGTCAAATTTCATGAATTCTAAGGAATTTCGATGTATTTGATTGAATATATCATTTTTTCCGATGAATATTTGGAAATAAATACAAGTATGGAATGTTGTTAGTTATATTATTTTTTTTTTGAACAGTTTGAAATGATTGCTCTCGTAATATTACATAGGAAGAAATGTTGAACGTTATGGAAGATAAACTCGGATGTAATGACCGTGGAACTCGACTATGAAAAAAAGCAGTGACAGTTAGCTCAACGAAATGGAAAACTTTAACACCGTAGCCGAACAGTTAAAGAAAAACTTTGTTATGCGTTCATTTTTCTTTATCATGCGAATTATGGTTGGTATTCTTGATATTATCAGAAAAATTGTGTGTTTCCCCATTTATATGTATCAATTAGAATGTAATTGTAATTTATAAAAATATATATATAAACAAAATAAAAATGTATATAAGAGTTAAATAATATTATTTTGTTGTAACATCGATTCGATTCAAAATAGATTCGATAGCATCGAAAAGAATATTCTGTGTTATCAATTATTATATTAAATATAATTACTTGAAAATTTCATAAGACCCAATAGAGGATTTTTGATCTCTTTTTTTCTTTTCTACATTATCGATCTTGATCCCAGAGCACGGTAATACTAGTGTCTCCGTCATACGGTTCGTCGATCGAGCCATCGCAAATTATTTCGTCTAGCAGCTCGTAGCATTAATTACGGTAAAAGCTTTAGGCCACGAGCTGCTGGGAGTACCACTAGTAGGTAGACCCTGCTAGTAAATGAACCTAATAGCCGTACGCTCGTATTATCCACGCCATGTTTCAACATTACGTTGCTACATTTATTGATATATATATATATATTATATTATATATGTATATTCATGAAAAACCTAACATAAGTATTATACGAAAAAATTAGGCATTTTTGGGAAAGCATGTAAAAAGAATTTTATTATACGTTTAAACTAATTTTTGTAAGAAATAAATAAGTAAAATATAAATTCACGAGAAGCGAGATTAATTAAAATATAAAAATGAAATTTGATTAGTATTTTAAGTCTGATTTGTTTCCTACAACAATGCTCGTAGTTATTCGTAATTATCTGTTCCTATACTTTGAAAACAAAAAATGTTTTGTTAATAGTATTGTTCTATCGGATCTAATGTATGGATTACATTTAAATTCTATTATATATAAAAATTTTAATGATCACATATATATTGATTTTATTGATAAAATTTGATATTCAACATGCATACACATTAACATACATACCTGAAATAATATAATTCCATTCCTCGACAGGATCACTTCGGAAACTAACTCCATGGTGAAATATTCACTCTGAAAATACAAGGAATATCGTTTTTCATTAAAAATATCTAACTTATTAAAACAAGCACCGCGTATATAAAATGAAATGCATATTTCTTATGAATTATCGTAATATAATTAATTAAATTATCTTTAAAAAATAGGATATAAAACGTTATATCTAATATAAATGAGAAGATAAATAATGTAAAAAAATGTATTATATAATATACGTAATACAGAGGTGCACGTCGAAACACGTGCACACGATAGCTGTGAAGAATAATGACTGAAAATAAAAAAATATGTAGTAGAGGTTAATGTTATCGAGAAAACAGTTTTCCGGTGGTTAATGTATTGTTTATATACGTTGTACATATCTCAATCTCTCGTATTTTTATTTAACCGTCTTCGAAATTTGTAAACACATTAACCTTCGTATAAGTTCGGTATAGGTCGTTTATTGCGTAGTCGTTTTGTCTTCAGTCTTCTTCGAACATCGGGATATGTAACAACAGTATTATAAGAGTATAACATTTATTACGTGTATACGCGTGCGTGTGCGTGTTTCGTAGGAATATGCATACGTGCATAACGTATGCATACGTGTGCGAGTGTGTGTAATGCAGGAGAGTGATATATATATATGTGTGAATATATTTGCATATGTGTATATATGAAGTGCGCGAGTGTGTGTACTTCAAGAAGACAGTGATATATATTGTGTATGTGTGTACAAGGACAAGGTACATCTAACGGGATTTATTATTGGCTACAATTTATGTAAGTAACAATGAACGACAAAAATTAATATATATATATATGTAGTAATAAGTATATAATTGCGAGGGATAATTACAATGCGTCGTGCTCGAACACCGGACAAATGAATATTTTCATTAGTTTGATATCAATCGCAATTATAATTATTTTAATTAATAACTATCTAACGCGATGATCGTCGCGATTTTTTTTTAGCGATTAGGTAAACAATATTACAAAGTTTTCATACTAATCTAATCAAAGATTAATCATAAATGTAACAATTTAACATTAGAAATATTCACATACGCGTAAATAGAAAAGAAAAGAAAAAAAATGGAAAAAGAACATAATTAATAATTGAGAAGAAAAAGAAATGGAAAGATAATATTCCATGAATCTTAGTGATTTTTACTTCGTATCATAACTCGTAACACGCGAACATACATACATAGATACATACATACATAGAAGAAACATGGAACGCTTTCTAGGCGCCAGGAGATGCCTATCCTTGATTTTTTTTTAATCAGCTTTGCATCGACGAGCCGGCTCGCCTTCGGTTTTCCTTCTTGAGAACTCACGAAGTACGAGCATTGTGGGAATTCTCTGGGAAAAAGCCGAGAAGAAGAAGAGTTTACACGGCTCGCTTGGTTCGTTGCTCCAGTAAACGCATGGAATCCTTGTAAATGCATGTGCATCTTGCAGTTGTTACTATTGCTATTGCTGTTGTTGTTGTTGTTGCTGCTGTTGCTGCTGCTGCTGCTAGTCGAGCAACATGCATAAATGTGTTTAAAAGGAACGTAACATAGTTTTCCTCATCTTTTCTTGCAAAAAGGATGTAGGGGGAAGGAGGGGTTATATTTTAATCGACCACATCGTTACTGGATAAAGATAAAATTGACGAAAACGACTTGGATATTCTCGTTCGCTATAATAATAATAATAATAATAATAATAATTATCCGTGTTTTTTTCTGTTATTAATTAAACGTACGAATGTTAATAACGTAGATATTTTTCCATAGCTTTTACTACGTATTATGAAAATACAAGGACGATCGGGTAAAGAGTTTAACGTATCCTTGAATCTTCGAGAGTAAAGAGAAGAGGTAAGGTACTCGTGCTGATCGGTAAAAAAATATTTGCTTTAGAAGACACTCCTTTCCGTGGTATTAACAAAAAGTCTTGGAGGTTTCTTTCCTTCGTTTAGAGATGGCATCGGTACGGTATTATTACGATTGGTTTAAGTGGCTCGATAATTTTACTGCCTATCTCTATTTCTTTCTTTCTTTCTTTCTTCCTTTATTTTTTCCTTTCTCAAAGAATCAAGTAGGAACGATGTTGAAATAATAAGCAAGAAGAGGAAGAAGAAGAAGAAGAAGATAAAGATAGAACCATCGTCATTACTAACTTCGCAAGGGATATTTCGAGTCCTGACATTTTCCAGTCAGATTGCAGGACGAATAACACGGAACGACACCGTGGGATGATAAGAGCTTCATCTCGAAAGCATCAAAGTTCCGAGAAAAAGAGCTTTTAAGAGACTAAGAATATTCATCATCATTGCGATTTGTAGAAAGAAGAGAAAAGGGTTTTAACGCGATAGTTCGAGTAATTACCATGACCTACTACTACCACTCAATCTCTTCTTCTTTTTCTTCTTATCTTTTTCCTTTTTCTTTTTTTTTTTTTTTTCTTTTTTTCTCTCTTTTTTTCTTTTCATCTTTTTATGTGGAAAGTAGTATGTAAATTGCAATTTATCGTCGAGAGAAAAAAGATCTATGCTATTATTTAAAACGAGTTCTATTAAGAGGAATTTTTTCTTCTTCTTCTTCTTCTTCTTCTTCTTCTTTTTTTTCTTCTTCTTTTTCTTCTTCTTTACCAGACGAATCGAAACTCTATCATTTTCTCATTAATTTTTTCTTTTTTCTTTTTTTTTTTTTATTCCTTAAAAAGAAGAGATTTTCAATCGTTTAACGTATTTAATAAATGCATGCAATTTATATTTCGATGAAAAAATAAACGAAGTAACAATTATCAAATTAATTTTACGATAATGAAATAAAAATAAAAAAACGGGAAAAAAAAAAGATTACAAATATACTTGGTGTAACTAAATAATCACACGGCGTAATAGAGAGTTTACTCGTCATCCCTGGTTAACAAAGTTAATATTAATGAAATCGTGTTCTAGAAAGAGTCGAAAAGTGAAATATAAGTTTGCATCGAATTAAATTACTTTGTAATATAAGTAACGTTATTGAGAATGCCATAAAAAAAAAAATTTAATTATATTCTTCTAATAAAGTAAGAACGCAAGATGAAAGATACGGGAATAATGTATAAATCAAAAATTGAACTAATTTCGTTCGAACGGATGATCCTTTTTTTTTTTTTTGAGTTTCCAAGGAACGTAAAAATAAAAAGGAAAATCATCTCATCGAAATAAGCGATATTTTTTCGATAGACTTCGAAAGAGTTTCGATATGGTAATGAATTCGAATTACAGGATATTTTTTCTTATCTTGTGTGTGGCATTAAACGAAAAAAAAAATAAAAAAAAAAAAAAAAAATAAATATAAAAAGAAAGTAAGCGATATCTCGTTACGAATCCTTGACACGCGCGCAGATATCGGCTCGTAAACTTTTTCCATGTTTGCATAATCTATGAATTAGTATATAGGATAAAACTCGCGAGTTTTGCTGTGCGAAGAGAAAGAGAAAGAAGAAGAACAAAAAAAAAATAGAGAACTTTTATGATATCGTACTTTTCTATGAAAAGACAAAAAAAAAAAGAAAAAGAAAGAAATAGGAAAATGAAACTGGCAGAAAATCGTCATCGTTGGGCGTTTTAACGTATCGACGAATGCACGACAAAGAATACGTTCTCTCTCTTTTTATATTTTTTTTTCAGCCGATATTATCGTGTAATTTGGCACATGACGCACTAATGAGCCTATATTCTGCTAGATCAGTGGTCTTCAAATTGCGTTCAACTGAAATCTAGGATTTCACGTAATTTTTCCAAGGGTTTAACGAATTGTTTTTTTTTCTTTTTTTTTTTTTTTAGATATTTTTACATTGTATTAATTTACATGTATCTCTCTCGTGTTTGAATATATTTTAATTTATTTTTTTTCCACGCGAGGAATTATTTTTTTTACATTTGTAAAGGTTTCGTGATACGAAAATATTTGAAGATCACTGTGCTAGACCAATTTAGAAAAGGTCGGGCTAATGGATCGTTCTCTTGCTTCCTAGTTTGCGAAAGAATGAATGAGAGAGAGAGAGAGAGAGAGAGAGAGAGAGAGAGAGAGAGAGAGAGATAGTTGAATAGAAGAAAGTATAGACGAATGAATAGTGATAAAAATAGAAAAAAAAGAGAGAGAGAGAGAGGGGGGATGGGAAATTATATTCGTGATCATCGGATATAAATGTGAAAAGCGAAAGATCCACGTGATCATCAAAATTAGGTCGAAATTATTTGTTGGAGATTGTAATAAAAAAAAAATGAAAATAAAAAAAAAAATACAATAAAATATTCCTCGCGAATGAATCGAAAGAAATTCGACGTGTTATTGGATATTTAAAAAAAAAATTTTGCTTTTCTTTTTTTTTTTTTKCAAATCATATATTATTAATTACAATCGTAACATAATGGGAAATTATTCGCGCGGAAACAATGCATTAATAATGTCAACTGAATAAGAGACATCTTTTACATAAGGAAAACATTAAGTAAGGTAAAAAAAAAAAAAAAGAATAGAAAAGAAAAGAAAAGATTGATCGTTGGAATGTCAGTAACGAAAGAGAGAGAGAGAGAGAGAGAGAGGATGATCTTCCTTCCTCTCGATCTTGGCCACGAATAATAATGATTCCTTTTCTTCCGAAGCGCCGATTTCAAACGATTCCGATCTTATAACTCAACTGAAGGCGAATGACAGTGAAAGTAATGCGTGTGGCAGTCAGTCAGTCAGTCGTCGTCGTCGTTCATGTATGGGACGTCATTGAAGTCCAAATCACCGGAGGGAAAAAAGAAGTCTCGAGGATCGGTTTGCCTTTCTCTTGAGTGAGAATGGAAACGAGAAAGAAAGAGAGAGAGAGAGAGAGAGAGAGAGAGAGAGAGAGAGAAAAGAATCGCACAAGTTCTTCAGGGACTCGATTCTTATCTGACAACGCGAGTGTTACTCGCAAGTCGGATATTTAATGTGTGCTTACTTATATATACGACGAGATCTTCTCAGTCAATGCCACATGCAGCGTGAGATCGTCGATTTTATAATGTAAACGCAACAGTCCCGAGATGAACCAACAACAATCTTCGAAAGGGAGATCATCTTATTGATCGCTAAAAGTAGGCTAACTCGCGATCCTTCTACGCGCGGTTTCTCTTTTTTTAAATCGTTAACTTATACGTATATATATATGCGTGTGTATGTGTGTGTGTTATATAAATATATTTTCTTTTTTGACTTTTATTCTTTTTATTTTTGATTTATTTTTGAGATTTTTATATATTAGAAAATTATAGATAAATGTATCGCGTATACACGCATATGCAGTGGTTTTCTTTTTGTTAAAAAAAAAAAAACAGCAACAAAAAATAGTAGTAGGTGCCGAAACTCGTTATTAATTGTCACAAGCTTTGTATTAAAGAAAATATTATTTATTCTGTGTAAAAATGAATTTATATATGTTAATTTATTTTCTTATTTCTTTCTTATTCGTTTTGAAAAAATTAAAGTTTTTCTTGGTGTGGGTTACACTACAAAAAAAAAAAAAAGCATTGCTTATATGCATTCATTTATAATAGAGACTTCGATGCGAGAATAAGCAAAAGAAAGGTAAAACGTGACGTTAAAAAGTAATGGATATTTAGTGTTTCTTCCGTCAGTATAAATCAAGACATCCGTTTGAAATAACGTCCCGTTGAGGAATCGACAAATTTTTTCGTACGGAGTAATAGAAATCAGGGAAAGTGAAAAATTAGGTCAACTTGTGGGGATCGATTTCTCTCTCTCTCTTTCTCTCCTCCTCCTTTAATCGAAATAATGAGTCTCGATAAATAAATGGAAAGGAATGTTTTTATCTTAACGACATTATTTTTCGTTCGATAAATTACCGTTACTCCAAATACGATTTTCATTCGATTCGATCGATTATTAATTATTCTTCCGTGATTGACATTTATTATTAACGAAGTAATTATCGTTAAGATACTTGAAATGTTACTTACTCGAATTAGCTTTCCTAATAAACTTCAGAAACTGTTCTAGCAGCAAAGTCAAAGGACAATCTTGACAAACGTTAGTAATTAAGGAACCACGATTTAGTTTATAATGCTAGTGTTATATTCAACGCGACATCATAATTGTTAAGTGGAACACGCAAAATGATACAAAGCAAACGATTTCAAAAGGTTAACAGTTTTTACAGATGTTTCTTAAAGTTTATCAACAAAGTTCTGAGGAATTGT